CCGGCCCACTTCTCTCTGGGATGCGCCGTATTCGCCTCTCTCCTCGCTCTTCTCCCAGCGTGGTTTCGGCCGCCTGCTCCTTGTCTCCCGAATTCCTGGAAGGAAAGAACAGCAGGCGGTGGGGAGGGGAGCAGAGCAGATCCGACCAGGAAGGGGAAGGGGAGAGGAGAGCTTCAGGACTGCGCGGGGCTCACTTGGGGTGCTAGCGGCTGAGCGATCCGGGGTGCCAGCGTGGTTAAGGCGCCACGGTCTCTTGGGAACTTCAGCTCCACAAATGGATGGATCCAGAATAAACCCCACTCCCGAACGGTTTCAATGCAAACATCGAACCCAAAACAGGAAAAGGCGGAATGTCAGCTCCCCAGAGGGCAGAGAGCAACGGAGCTCGGGGGGAACGACTCCCCGACGCTGGCGGCACTCTGAAATCACGGGCACCACAGCCAGCCACAAGGGCGGCGCTGCTGCACGCCAATCTGAGAATACTCCAGCAGCCAAATCACCCTGCAACTCACAACTGGAAACCCACTGGAGCTCAGCAGGTGTGAGCCTGGTCAGTACCTGGATGGGAGACCTCCTGGGAAAGCTAAGGCTGCTGCTGGAAGAGGTGTTAGTGGGGCCAGCAGGGGGCGCTCAGCCTGCGGTCCGTGTGGGTCCTAATGCCCCAGTATTGTGACAGGGACACTTTACTGTAAACAGGCGCCGTCCTTCGGGTGAGACATAAATCCAAGGTCCTGACTCTCTGTGGTCATTAAAAATCCTAGGGCATTTCTTGAAAACAGTAGGGGTGTTACCCCGGCGTCCTGGCCAAGCTTCCCCCTGGCCTTTACCAATCATGGCCTCCTAATAATTCCCCTCTCTGAACTGGCTTCAGAGCGTTCTGGCGCACTATGGCTGCTGTTGCATCATCCAGGTGGGGCTGTACATTGGTGGTGGTGGAGGGGATCCCCATTACCTGTAAAGCGCTTTGAGTGGAGTGTCCAGAAAAGCGTTAAATAAGTGTAAGCAATCATTATTTTTATTAATAAATAATACTCCGGCAAGCTCAAGCCCACTTTTCTTCAGAGGCTCTGTGCCAACTCGGGACTGGCATTCAGTGGGGCTAATTCAGTGTGGCAGGAACCATACTGGGTCCAGGGATCTGGGATCGGTGGTCTGCAGAAGTCCAGCTGGGCTCGGATCAAGCACCATCACTGGCCATGCAGCTCAGGGCCACACGCCTCCTGCCCTCTCAGAGCGACAACCGAGTTCTCTTCATCCCTTTTACTCCTGACAATGTAGAACAGTCCACTATTCTGCCTAGCACCTCCAAGGCCAGCCAGCTGCATTCAAGTTAATGTAGTATCTAAAAGACACGAGCTCAGGCTCAAACCACTGTGACAGCTCCTGTTGTAAATGGCTAATTTTTTTACCACTATTTTGGCAGCATAACAGACTCCCACTGGACTGCAGTTTGATCCACTGCAGGGTTTAGAGTGTGTCAGACTCAAATGACACAAGTGGGCCAGGTCTGGCCAATTACAGGAGGCTATTCTAAGACACATTCTAAGGCAACAGCAGGTGCTGGAGCATTCAAG